CCTCAGGAAGAGACTGGTGTATCTCTCCCATGCGTCCCGGATGGTCACATCTTCATCCTGGGTAAAGTGGGTGATCTGCTTCTGCAAGTCCGCCATTTTTGACGGAGGATGATAGCGGGTGAGGAACTTGTCCGCCAGGATGGCGAACGTGGTGATCGATCCAGGGGGCCTGGTTTCCAGCCACTCCTTGGCTTGCCCCTTCAAAGTGAATGGGAAGTACTTAAGCTGGATGGCATTGGCTGGGACCCCATTTATCTTGATTCCATCGATGAGCTCGTGGAATCGCCTCAGATGTGATCGGGGGCACTCCCCCTCTTTGCCACGGAATACTACCGAGCCGCGCAACATAGTGATGACCGAGGTGCTCACCTCAAAGTTGTTGGCTGGGACTTGAGGGTGCTGAATGGGCGACCTCATGTCCGCGGCTCTGGCGGTCCAGTAGTACCCCATGGTTTGCTCCTCGGGAAGGACCACATCATGGTCCTGTGGGTCACCCATCTCTTCCTCCTCGGTGATTTGCAGTTGTGCTAAGGCCTCCTCCGCAGCCAGTCGCGCCTTTAGAGCCCGCTTGAAGTTCCTACAGGTTCGTTCAAGCTCTTGGTCTAATGGTGGTAAATCTCCCGACTGGCTACGGGTCATGCACTACCTGCACACAATCAGCAAAAGTAACCCGTGAAGGCACACAGGTGGAAGAGAGAAAATGCAGTAAAGAAAAAGCTAGAGTAACAAACTTTCACGTTTCCCCAATAACCTAGAGGGTCCCCGGCAACGGCGCTAAAACACAACATCAAACTGCGACCAAGTGTAATCGCAGTCAGAAAATGCAGAATAGTGGCAAGTTCTATTTATCAATCCGGGGTCTAGATCTACTGCCTACTCCGTGATTATCTATTATCTAGCAAACTAAGTCGAGTGATTTTGGTTTTAATTAAACGTAGTAAGAAAGCAAGAAATGATTTAGTTTTCTAAAGCAAAGGGAGAGTCACTCGGGAATGAGTCCCCCTAGCTCCTTAATCAGGTCTCAGTTGTAATTACCCTGGGGTTGATTAACTGTTGATTAAACTGCGAAAGATCCGACAGTAGTTTGGAATCTCTTAAGCTAACCAAGCCCTCTCAGTCCAACTAACCGGCAGACGACTAGTCTTCATCGGGGTAGAAAGCTGAGGCTATGAATACAGAACTCCACTACTGGAATTGGATTCCAGTACAAAGCAGTAAATCGATTAACTCTCGTATAATCAATCTATCACTACCGATTGATGAGGCTCTAACAACCTAATCAGATTCTATCTATCTCAGGTTGCAGCAGAAGTCAAGAAAAGATTATCAGACTTCAATTGACTCAATGAATCATGCATCAATCGATTAAAATCAAACAATATAACAATCCCAAGTCATTACAATCAAGATTCCTAACACATGGAACTAGGGTTCTTCATACCCAACTGAGAGAAGGTTCTACTCCATAGAGAGAGAGGAAAACAGAAATCAGAGTAGTCATACTCATAATGATGAGGATAATCTGCTCTGAGATGACGATCTTCACTCCTGAGGATGCAATCTGGGCTTCAATGGTGAGAAATCCACTCCAAATAGCTCCTAGGGTTTGTTCTTCGCACTTTCTCTCTCTAAAACTCTGTTTTTGCTCCGAGAAGTCGACTCTCCCTCTCCTTTGTCTCGAATCTGCCTCAAAAACCCGATTATGGGCAAAATACGGGCTGAATTACTGTCGTAATCATGGTCTGCCCGTAATTCACCCAAAACTCGCGTTTCACTAAACTTTGAGGAAAGTAATTACGATCGTAATTACCCAATTACTGCCAGTATTTAAGTAATTATGACCGTAAATGAGTCCACTCTTGCCCGTAATTTGCTCTGCGACAGGAATTCTCAGGGATTTAGGCTCGGCAATGCATTTACCGGCATGACAGAAGCAATTACGTCCGTAATTGGGCAGGGGCTGCCCGTAATTCTTCCTCCGCCCCTGTTTAATGCTTCGTTTCTCCCTCGTCCGGACTCCGAATCAGTCGCCGTTTGATCCCAGACGCTCGTAGTCTCGTTCTCTTTCTTTTCATGTCAAAATTACATGATTATTTATCCATAATATGAGGTAAAAGTCCATTATTCCTCAGGTCATGCTCGTGTTTCTTCTCCCGAATTGCCAAATGAATTCCGATTGACTTGAAATTTGTGCCTTTGCTTCAATTTACATGCTAGGACCTGAAATGTGACAAAGGAACACAACCTAGCGTAAAATAGTCCAAGAAATCAAAAACTCTAGCCAAAATGATCAAGAAACGAGGGTGCAGACATGTGCAAATACGACGTTATCACACATGATTTGGGATGTGAGAGAGAAGATAGAGAGGGGATCGGGGGAGACTATGAGAGTGAGGGCGTGAGAGATGGAGATTTAAGTTTTTACCCTTTTTGTACTTTGTATATTTTAATTAATATAATAATATGAGATAATAATTATATGTTTAACATATATTTTAAGTAATGATACACTTACTTAAACGAATGGAAGTCATTTTTTAGAAGTGATAGATTTAGAAGAAATTTGTGTAATTTTAAGAAATGAACAGAGAAGTGATGGATTTAGAAGGAATTTGTGTATGCAAGAGAATTTGTAAGCAAATAGATGGATTTAGAAGGTATTTGTGTTATTTTAGAAGTGAATGATCACGAAAGTATCAACATTTTCATATGTGCTTGATTAGGATATTTAGGTTTGCTTTCCGGTATATTTTGGTTTATCCGGTATTACTCTGAAATGGTATCCTTGTTTTATTGGTACGGTTTTTTAACAAAAAATTATTTTATTATTACAAAAACGGCTCAAGATAGGGTGCATAATATGCACCCATCAATAACCAAATCTGGACCCTTCATTTAGAAAATCCAGATCTAAGGATGGAGAATGAAAGACCATTTTTATTTTCACTAGCTTTCTTAATTGACTCATATCTTTTTCGTTTTAACTCGGATTTTAATTTTTTTTGCACATATGGAACGAGTTCATCGTGCTCTACAAAATGAGATCAATTTTCAATTTTTTTGAGGAAAAAAATTTCTGGCCTCTCGGTACCAACTGCATACCATATGGTATCTTCTTCGTTTTTAATTCGTTTTTGAAAACTTTTGCACAGCAGGGACGAGTTCATCATTATCTATTGGATCAACAAATTTCCGGGTGAACAAATTACAAGACAAAAAAATATCACACAATACCACCCTGGTACGGGGTGGTATCTTATGGTATACAATGTTAAAAGTCGTAAATGACAATTAATATACTTCTACTATCATGTATTCAACCATCCTACAGTTTTGGTTTGTGTCATACCACCATGGTACGCTTTTCAAATCATAGGTATGCTCAATTTTTTTTGTTCGAAAAAATATATCAAAGTGGATATCATTTTGAAGAGCATAATTGATCGGATCTAACTGTGCAAAAAAAATTAAATTTCGACTTAAAACGAGTGAGAAATCGTCCGTCAAAGATTAAGAAGGGGAAAATTAAAGGCTTTTCAGGAGAGAGAGGATGCTGATGTCATGATGATGTGGGCGGGTTACTCATAATTACTTACCATAAGGTTACTACCTGATCCATTCCCTTAAAAAACGATATTTTATTGGTATACAATGGTTGAACGAGGATAGTACCACAAAATACCCTACGGTATAACTTCCGATATGCTTGCTACTTACGCGGTTTTTCACCTTCTTCACCGACTGGTGAGCTGAGTTGCCATAGGAATTAGAAGCGTCGGCTGTCTCATCCAAAGAGACAAAATCACCTTTCATCACCATGGCCGATCGTCCTCCTCCTCCTGCTATAACCTCCTCGTTAATTCATCCACGGCAAAGTCGCCTCGTCACTTCCGTTTCACGATTACGGTTTCCTTCTGCCGCGAAACACTGTGGAGTTGGAGAGATCCTCCACGCTACACAACACCCGCGACCACCGCGCCGTTCGTACAGCGGCGCACCACCGGCGGCGTTGGAGGCTATTTTCCCGGTAAATACCCACAGATATCGCATATCTGTAGGCCCATGGTCCCCATGTGGAGCCCCATTCCCGTCTTTAAGATACAATTTAGAAATTTCCGTTGTTTTAGATTGGACAATGATTCGAATTTTGTAGGTATGCATTGGGGATTTTGAATATTTTGGGCGAAGGGGATGTTGGACTATATTGTAAACTATGTTTAGTTTAAGGACTGAATGTAATATTTGTTTACCTTTATGTATTGTTTTGTTATTTGCTAGATAGAACTTGTATATATTGTAAATCTGAACAATGTAAATTTACGTTTTGGTGAAATAAAACAAGTAGACTTTTGCCTTCCAACATGGTATCAGAGCGAATCCAATTCTAGAGAGTTCTTGACGTTTCGTTTTTTTTTCTTTCCTTTCTTGCTTCCGCGTTTCCCTTCCATGGCGACTTCTTCCGCTTCCTCTTTCCAACCGCCGTTGCCGATCTCGGCGACGCTTGCTCCAAATCATCCGTACTTCATCAGTTCCGGCGATTCGTCCACGGCGCAGCTCGTCTCCGTCGTTCTCACCGGGCCGAATTACCACTCCTGGGCCAGATCCATGAGGTTTGGTCTCCTGTCGAAGAACAAGATCTCCTTCGTCGATCCTTCCGTCCCGACGCCGCCTGCTGGCGATCCGCTCTTCCAGGCCTGGCAGATGTGCGACACGCTCGTCCTCGGCTGGATTCTCCGGTCGCTCTCGCCGGAGATTGCACAGAGCGTCCTCTGGCTCAACACTGCGGTCGAGGTTTGGCGAGATCTCCAGGAGCGCTTCAGCATCGCAGATCTGATTGTGCATAACTGGTCACTCACGGGAAATTTGTTGGATTGAATTTAGTAAGGATAATTCAATTCGATTCAGTGGAGAAGTGAGAAAAGGAACCCACCAAGTGGGCACTTTATATTGTTTGAAATTGGTAAACTTCTTCTTCTTCTTCTTCTGTTCACATCTTGGCAGTGGGCACTACTTGTACTGCTTCACTGGGAACGCTGGAAAGGGTAAAACCGGCGGCAGCTGAGCCTCTCTAAGGAAGGAAGGTGAAAAGTGAGGGAGAAGTAGAGGAGCTTCCATGCCAGGTTTACCCTTAGCAGAGTCCGGCTGCGGGCCGGACGACTTCCCGGCCAAGCTCACCTTGCAGGTTGTTCTTTGCACCATCATTGCCGCGTTTGGTGGATTCATGTTTGGTTACGACGTTGGTATTTCAGGTAGTCAATTAGCCTTTTACTTCAGATATTGGCTGGTGCATTTTGCTGCTCGAAAGTTGAAATCTTTTGCGATTGGTTTTGGTGGTAGGTGGAGTTACAGCGATGGACAGTTTCTTGAAACCTTTCTTCCCACATGTTTACATCAAGAAGCACACGGCCAGATCGAACAACTACTGCAAGTACAATGACCATTATCTCCAGCTATTCACTTCATCGCTCTACCTGGCAGCAATTGTGGCCAGCTTCGTTGCGTCTCTTGTTTGCAAGAGACTGGGGAGAAGACCTGCTATGCAGATCGCCTCTGTCTTCTTCTTTACCGGAGCAGCTATCAATGCTGCGGCTTTGAACCTCCCCATGTTGATCATCGGACGGCTTCTGTTAGGAGCCGGAGTTGGGTTCGGAAATCAGGTGAAAAGTTTCCCTCTGTATACATTGTTGTTACCCCGTGAATGACCATTTCATATCAAAGGGAGAAAATAGAAGATGACCGAATATATTATGGTTTGTATCCATCCAGACGGTGCCATTGTTCATATCTGAAATCGCTCCAGCAAAGTACAGAGGAGGGCTCAACATCTGCTTTCAGTTGCTGATCACACTTGGAATCTTGAGTGCCAACATTGTAAATTTCATAACTTCAAAGGTGCATCCTTATGGTTGGAGGATTTCCTTAGGTGGAGCTGCCGTCCCAGCCGTAGTCCTCCTTATAGGCTCTTTCATGATTGTGGAGACACCCACGAGTCTTCTGGAGAGAGGGGAGACTGACAAGGCTCGATCCACTCTAAAGAAGATCAGGGGAGTTGATAATGTCGTAAAAGAATACGCTGAAATCCGAGAAGCAGTTGAACTCGCTAGTCAGGTTCAGCACCCCTTCAGAAGTCTCAGGAAAAGATACTACAGGCCGCAGCTCATTTGCGGGACAATCATTCAGGTCTTCCAGCAGCTAACAGGGATCAGCGTGATCACATTCTACTCCCCAGCTCTGTTTCAGACCATGGGTTTTGGGGAGCATGCGTCCCTTTTCTCAGCTGTCGTGATCAACACCATCAAACCCGTATGCACCATCGTCGCTATTTTGGTGGTGGATAGGTTTGGTAGACGGGCATTGCTTATTGAAGCTTCTGTCCAGCTGTTCATTGCTGAGGTAATAGAATCATAATCTTCATTTTGAGTTAGTGCACAACGAACTCATTTCATAAGAGCTCGCGCGGTTACTCTCTTTGTTTGGCAGTGTGCTATTGGAGCGATTCTGGCCACACACCTCGATGCAACGAGCATAATGGAGAGGGATTATGCGGTAGCGGTGATATGCCTCATATGCGTGTTCTTGTCTGGATTTGCTTGGTCATGGGGTCCATTGGGATGGCTGATTCCAAGTGAGATCTATCCATTGGAGACCAGGACTGCTGGGTTCTTCATGGCCGTGAGCATGAACATGCTGGTGACGTTCATGGTAGCTCAGACGTTCCTGACGATGCTGTGCCACATGAGGGCAGGGGCGTTCTTCTTCTTCGCCGGGTGCCTGTTTGTGATGGGGACGTTTGCAGTTGTGTTGCTCCCTGAGACCAAGGGAGTCCCCATCGATGAAATGATCGGCAGGGTTTGGAAGAAACACTGGTTCTGGAAGAGGTTTTACAATGATTACGAAGATCATAACGGGAAGTAGTGTAAGATGCCCCCATAGAAGAAACCTGGTAAGCACTTCAACGTTCAGGAATCAGAATCTGGAAGAGGTTCTTAATTATGGGGTTGATAACACTTTGCAGCCCCTGGGAGAATCGGGATAGAGTTCTCCTAAGATTTCTTTTTCTTCTTTTCTTCCATGTGTGTGTGTATTTTCTACTGGAGCTTGAGGCTTGAAGTTAATCAAGCCATTACACATAAATTCTTATACAAGGTATCATGAATTTGTAGCTGTAATAGTAGTGGCAGGAAACCTGTTGGCTGCCGTATGTTCATCAATGATAAATTTACCTTTTTTTTTTTATGTAGAGACGGAAGTGGGGTAGTTCTTTTGACATTTATCTGTTGGACTGGTATAGTATAGAGATGGAGGTGGTTGGACGGACTCCTCCTAGTCACTTTCTCCATATCCTATTCTTTCTTCTCCACCAAACTATTCTTCAAGTTTCTCGCTTTTTCATCTCTTTGCCAAATCTAGGCCTCACGCAGCGCCAGCGGAACCCGCAACTCTCCCTGCCTTCCCCACTTTCGCCGGCCGATCGTCGAGGAAAACCATGAGCACCACTGGCGGCTGCCTCTACAAGGATCCAAATGCGCCCGTCGAAGCTCGGGTCAAGGACCTTCTTTCCCGGATGACTCTGGAAGAGAAGCTGGCTCAGATGATTCAACTCGACCGGGTCGTCGCCGATTCCTACTTCCTCCGGGACCTCGCCGTCGGTATGCTGCCTGATGTTCTCCTCCCACTTCACAAACGAAATGCCCCGTCACTGTAATTATTCGTCTTAGTCGCACAGGCTAGGTGTTGGGTTGAGACTTACGAACAGGGCTTTGTGCATTTTGTTATAAATGTTCGGTTTCTTTCGGGCATTTCTTCATCCATCTGGTGGGCAAATTTTATTTGCAGGGAGTGTGCTCAGCACTGGCGGGAGCGCGCCTTTTGAAAATGCGCTTGCATCTGATTGGGCCGACATGGTCGATGGTTTCCAGAAGCTGGCTCTAGAATCCCGGCTTGGGATACCAATTCTCTATGGGGCTGATGCTGTTCATGGGAACAATTGCGTTTATGGTGCCACGGTTTTCCCTCATAACGTTGGCCTTGGCGCCACCAGGTTAGCTAGCTTCTTTATGGGTCGCATGCAGCAAGTTTTGGTAGGACAGCTAGCCGAAGCAATAGAATTAGCATTATGATTCAGTAGCTGTGTTTCTACATTAGATGATTGGTAGAAGCTGAATGGAGAAGACTCAGTTCCATGCTATTTTCAATCTCACAGTGCTTCTTATGTGCTTTGCAGAGATGCAGATTTAGTGAAAAGAATAGGTGTTGCAACTGCACTTGAAGTCAGGGCAAGTGGTATTCAATATACATTTGCTCCCTGCGTAGCTGTGAGTTCGTTGTGGTATTAGCTCTTGTTCGTTTTCATTTGGTACTAGATCTTTTTCGGAGAGCTTATTCAGAAGCCCGCTGACAGGTATCCAGAGACCCACGATGGGGAAGATGCTATGAGAGTTACAGTGAAGACACCAATATAGTTAGAAAAATGACCTCCATTGTTGCTGGCCTCCAGGGACAGCCGCCTGAAGGCCACCCACATGGCTATCCTTTTATAGCAGGAAGGTTGGAACACCTATAGCTTCACTACTGTTGCAACTTCTGCCTTTTCATATATTTCGTTACCGAAAGAAGAAGATTATAGTTATTGTAGTGCTGAAATGCTGGTCAGGATGTGGCACTGAGCTATTGTTTCACCCACTGTAAATTTTGCAAATTTGAAATGTAACCAAGGTTCTTTTCCTACCTAACAGAAATAACATTGTTGCCTGTGCTAAGCATTTTGTTGGAGATGGGGGCACTCACAGAGGTCTAAATGAAGGCAACACAATGTTGTCATATGAAGATCTTGAGAGGATCCACATGGCTCCCTATTTGGATTGTATAGCCCAAGGTGTGGGCACTATTATGGCTTCCTATTCTAGCTGGAATGGAAGTAAACTGCATACTGACCGTTTCCTCCTGACTGAAGTCTTAAAAGATAAGTTGGGGTTTAAGGTAAAAAACCGGAAGTTATTAGTTCATTTGGACACAACCTTAAAGGATATGCTAGTTTGCGTCTTTTCCCTGGTCCATTGAATTACCTTGTATATCCTTTAGCTCCTCTTGAGCTTCAAAGAAGGAATATGACAAACCTATATGAAATTTTTTGTTAGGCAAGAGAAGTATGTAGAATCTGACATCTCTAGTTACAACTTTTGTTTCAGGGATTTGTGATCTCTGACTGGGAAGCATTGAACAGACTCAGCGAACCTCTTGGTTCCAACTACCGCCGATGTGTTGCTAGTGCCGTTAATGCTGGAATAGACATGGTACATATCTGAGCTTCCTTCTCAGTCTGCCTTAGCTTTACTAGATCGATTCTGTCTTCTGTTTTTTTCCCCAAATGTTACAAGATCAAAGCATTGGTTTTCTCACTATGAGCATACAGGTGATGGTTGGCCGGAAATATAACCAATTTGTGGAAGATATAATTTCTCTTGCGAAATCAGGGGAGATACCAACATCCAGGATTAATGATGCTGTTGAAAGAATACTGAGAGTGAAGTTTATTGCTGGCCTGTTCGAGTATCCCTTTGCTGACAGGTCCTTACTAGGCACAGTTGGCTGCAAGGTAAAGTTTGAGAATTTCTTGCTTTAGCATTGCTATTCCCTTCTGAAGCAGAAATGCTGCTCCAAAGCCGATTTTGCATCTAGCATGCTTGTGGTTCGTTGATTTTGGATCAACATGTTAGCTAGAGGTCACTGGTTCGGTAGTTGCCAATGTGTGTTCGGTTCAGCTTTCTAATGAAATGCTAAAATCAAGATGATAAATTTAGAAAAGAAATTACAAGATATAATCTGATACCAGATCCGAGTTGATGGAATCATAATATAGCAGCATACTACATCGTAAACTTGAGATAATGACCCTAATGTCGTCATTGCTAGATTCGGTATCATCCTAATTTGTGCAAATGCATCTTTGGTCCCTTCTCAACGTATCGTAATGGCAGTTACCGCTCATCACTATTTGTATATCTTAGGGCAATTGTCTTGTGCATACAGCTTCACAGGAACTTGGCACAGGAAGCAGTCCGCAAATCATTGGTTCTGCTGAAAAATGGCAAGGAGTCCAACAAACCTTTTCTTCCATTGGACAAGAACGCTAAAAAGATTCTTGTTGCTGGGACTCATGCTGATAATCTTGGATATCAGTGCGGAGGATGGACGATAGCCTGGTACGGATTAGGTGGCAGGATTACCATTGGTATGCAAATTCTATCACCCAGAACCGCTAGAAAGAACATTTTCATTCATCTCAGCTAGTTGATCCCCTTATACTCAACTTCCCTCCAATATCGTGTCTCTAACTGGCGAAAACGTTTGACTTGAATGCTATTCCAGGGACGACCATATTGGATGCTGTTAGAAAAGCAGTTGGAGAGAAGACAGAAATTGTTTTCGAGGAATACCCATCACCAGAAACCTTATCGGGTCATGATTTCTCGTATGCCATTGTAGCGGTTGGTGAATCTCCATATGCAGAATTTACGGGAGACAATGCAGAGCTTGTAATCCCCATGGGAGGACGAGACATCTTAAGCTTGGTCTCTGACAGAGTGCCCACACTGGCAATTGTTGTATCTGGACGGCCGCTAGTTGTAGAACCACATATACTGGAGAAGACAGATGCCCTTGTTGCTGCCTGGTTGCCAGGAACTGAAGGGGATGGAATTACGGATGTAATCTTTGGAGACCATGATTTTAAGGGACAATTGCCAGTGACATGGTTCAAGGAGGTCAAGCAGTTGCCAATGAACCATGGGGAGAACAATGAGTATGATCCTCTTTTTCCCTTTGGGTTTGGACTGACATACGAATGAGAAGGAGGGAACTCCTTGATTCGTGGTGGAAGGCCGGCTGCTGCTGCAGAAACACACCGCTTTCTACTGTTTGTACACTCACTGGAATGATAATAACTTGCTTTGATGGGTGAACCTCCCTGGCAGTTGTTAATGTCACTTTGTACTTTATTTGTTAAAATAATAAAATGTCAAGGTAAGCGTACCAATCCGTTGTCAGAATATCATGCAATTTCGTATGATGATTGTTATTTGTTGCTCGTGTATTAAACTAAATTTACATTTTTGCCCTTCATAATTTTTTTATATTCTATTCGCTAATTTGGTTTTTAACCAATCAACACTCATCCTATCCTTGCACCACCACCTGACCACCGACGCACAACCATCATCACCAGAGCCACGGCGGCTAGTGCATAACAACCATTGTCGACAAAAGTCGCCGAAGAGCGGACGTCGGCCGACAGCCGTCACACCACATCGTTGGACCAGCGACTGAGGTAACCTCGTCACCAAAAATATATATTTCGCCCATTCGCCCAAAGGTGTCGGACGCCGTCCACACTCCACTCGCTGCCGTCAGACGGTTATTTACGTCCAACGTCGGCAAGCGGACAAGGTCCGACATCTGGGGGCGGTCCCCGTCCGACAAAAGAAAGCGGACCCCGACTGACGGATGCAGGCGAACCCCGTCTGACCGGTTCAGACGGACGACGTCCGACCGGTTCAGGCGGACCCTGTATGATACTATTTTTTTTTTGGTACTTTGATAAATATATTTATGTTATTGTTTATTTTAAAGTTAATTAATGTTTATGTTTATTATGTTTATTTAGAGTTAAATTAATTGTACATAGTGTTAATTATGTTTTTTTAGAGTTAAATGATTATTAATTTTAGAGCTAATATTTAGATTTAATTTATTGCTTTTATTTTTATTTTACATAGTTAATTTTGTATATAGTTTTAATTAAGTGATTGTGTTTTTTAGAGCTAACTAGTTTATTGTGTTTAGTTTTATTTCGTAGAGCTAATTTCATTTAATAATTTATATTTAATTAAATTACTTATCATTAAATTATCATTATTTTTTAGAGTTAATTAAATTATTGCGTCTAGTTTTATTTTTTAGAGTTAATATTTCTGTATGGCCTGAACTTTGACCAAAATAAACATCCTGGCCAATCTTTTCGATCTATAACATCCTGGCCCGAACTATACATCAAAATAAACAATTTGGCCAGATCCAACTTTTGACCGTTAACTTGGACGGTCAAACGCGTTGACTAACGGTCAACGCGCCATGTCACTGCCAACTCAGCAAATGTCAATTATTATTTTTAATTTACACCTATTTCCATCATCTATTAGTATTAATTGATTCATTATTTAGTTGTGTTGCATCATATAATTTGTCTCTAAACAGTTGTAAAATCATAATTGCAGGTAGACATGGCTTACAACATTGAACTAATAGATGATTACACAGACTATTTCTTTTTTTTTTTCGTTGAATCAGATTCTTTCGAATTGATGAAATGAAAAAAGCCAATACAACGAGAAGAGCCAAACGCTCAAAAAGGTCCCTCACAAATCAACCAGGACCACCCGCCTATACAATACTACTGTCAAACCTGCAAAAGTATGAGTAAACTATCTAAAGGTATCCTATCGTCTCCAGCTCCTTGCGCATCACCACATTTCCTGCCACCAGAAAGCATAACTCAGCTTTTATTAGAAAAGCAACTTCCTCAGGATCTCTTCCATTTTTTCCATGCACCAGCAGACAACGTTCTTTCCAAATAAATGCTAGGAGCATGCAACAAATCGCCCCATGCCAACTTCCAGAATTACCTTGGCGAGCTATAAGGCAAACTTCAGATAGCATTGAGTCCTATAGTCTCTGCTGCAGACCCACATAGAACACAGGAAGAATCAGTAATTTTCCCCCACTGCTGCAGTTTTGTCTTAGTCACAATGGCATGCTTAACAATAAGCCAAGCAATTAGACTATAGCGAGGAGGACATGGTGTGCCCCAGATAAGTCTATACCACTGGACCTCTTGCTGTCTACTACGAAGTGAATCCCATACTGTTTTGACTGAGACTGACAGGGACTCCTTCAGTTCCTCTTCCTAGCCAGGGACTGACAGCGTGCCTCAGTTTTAGCAGCTTCCTCCAAGTCCAAGAACTGCTAAACTGGGGGCTTCATCGACCAAAGATCCCTCTGTTTGCACTTATATTCATGCATCCAGGCCACCCAGAGAGTACCTGAGTTAAGGAGGAACAACCAAAGCATTCGCACAGTACAAGCCTGATTCCAGGCCAAAAGATCCTTTACCCCCAGACCACCTTCCCTCTTTGGAAGGGCAATTTTATCCCAGGCCACCTTTGCACGACCTTCATCAGTGCCATGCCATAAAAACTGAGAGCAGAGTTTCTGCACCCTCTTGAGAACCAGTTTGGGAAAGACAAAAATCTGCATCCAGTATTGCACAATCCCCAATAATATAGAATTAAGAAATTGCAATCCTCCAGCATAAGTAAGCTTCTTAGCACGCCATGATCGAATTCTTTTAGTTATTTTATCAACCAGGATATCCACTTCTTTTGAAGATAGCTTCCCTGTGAGTAGAGGCAAACCCAAGTACCTAACTGGCAAGGAACCCTCCTGGAACCCCGAGAGAGACAAAGCAGTTTTCTTAAACTTAACAGACTCCCCTCCAAAATATATTTCACATTTTGAAGGGTTGCATTTAAGCCCTGAGATGCTGTAAAATTCTTCCAAAACAGACTTGACTTGAAGAATAGCTTGGGCAGATCCAGAGGTAAACACAAGGATATCATCCGCAAAACATAGATGATTCAATCCTATATTCTTTTGCACTGGGGATGATAAGGAACTCTACCTGCTTGACTAGCCTGCAATAGTAATGTGGAGAGACCCTCCATGGCAATAGTAAAAAGGTATGGGGATAGAGGATCCCCCTGCCTCACACCCTTTCGAGCTCGAAAAAATCCACACAAACTCCCATTCACATTAATGCTGTAATGAGCTGTCTGAACACAACACTTGATCCAATTAAGAAATCTTTTTGGAAATCCCATAGCCGCCATCATTAGGAAAAGGTAAGTCCAATTAAAAGAGTCAAAGGCTTTCATGACATCTATCTTTATAGCGCATCTAGATGATAGACCAGATTTATGATAGCCACTGACCAATTCTTGAGCTAAGAGAATATTATCCATAATACTTCGACCCTTAATGAAAGCAGACTGTGTAGGGTTGATAATCAAAGGGAGAACCTCCCTAATCCTGTTTGATAGAATTTTGGCTATAATCTTATATAGGAGGTTCACACAGGAAATAGGTCTGAAATTCTTAAGGTGCTCAGCATTAGAGATCTTAGGAATTAAAGAGAATATTTCCTCAATGGCGTCCAATATGTTAATTTCGAAGATGCTCTAACAGTGACAAAAAACATCGCGATGTCTCTTGGTTTATTTCTAATTAAGGGCTCGATGAAGCCACGTGAGTTGCGTAACAAAAGAAAGCTAGGTATGTGTTATATGTATTGCGACAGATGTAGTAGGGAGTAGGGATGGCAATTTCGACCTGACCCGTTTTATCCGACCTGTTTGACCTATTTTGGGGCGGGTCCGACCCGCCCCGTAGGCGGGGCGGGGCGGGCATGGGTAGTCTCATCGACCCGACCTGCCCTGACCCGCCCCATTCTCGACCCGTTCTTGTCTAAATTACATGTAATCTTAGTCAAATTACTTAGAATTTTTCTTTTATTGCATAATATTTTAGCTATAATAAAGTTGTAAATTAGTAAAAACTTCAATTTCTCCAATAATTTAACTACAATTGTCATAATATTGTTTATTTTCTTAGTCTTATAATAAAAATAACGAATATTTCTAATGTTTTTCATATAAATTGCTTACCCATTGGGTCGACCTGCCCCGACCCGTGACCCGTGATCAATTACCTGACCTGCCACGGGGCGGGTCTGGGTACCAAGAAACCCGCCCCGGACCTGCCCCATTGCCATTCCTAGTAGGGAGATGAAGTCATACAAGCTGGATTTGACCAAGGAGAGTGGTGGAAATACAAGTTCAAAAGGGAGTAATTGCATGTTCAGGGTTAAAATGAAAGAACTACTTTTTTATCCAAAGGCTCTTAATGGACCGACATTCTGGGAGATACAAGAAGTGATCGAAATGGAAATAAGTTTGAGGCGAGGGTATCACAATCATGAGAAGATGCTTTATCCGGAGGGCCACAGTCAGATGAAGAAATTCAGTCAGGAGGATAAAGAATCAATCAAGCAGATGAGAGATGCTGGGATATCTGGCGAAAAAGGAACATCAATGAACATGCAAAAGGGTGACAAAGGGCATCACTCCAAAATGCAAATTATAACCTCGGGTCCAAGTTTAGGAGAGATGACATGGGCGAGATGAATGCAGTCCAGTATGCGTCGCAAGCAGCTGAACGTGAGAATTATCATATAGAGGTTATGAAAGACGATAGCGACATGCTGACCCTCTTTTTTTTTTTGCCCATCCAACTTCCATCCATATGTTGAAGGCTCGGTCGTACGTGATTATCATCGACTCATCGTATAAGACCAATACGTATAAAATGTCGTGGGTGGAGGTTGTAGGTGCTACTCCTGTTGGGAAGAATTTCAACATATGTTGTGCTATCATGAAGGAGGAGACAAAAGAGGCGTATCATTGATGTTGGTGTGCATAAAACAATTGCTCCATCCACGCGTGCCCACTGCCATCATCACCGACCATAAAGGTGGACTACTTGCTACAGTTTCTGGTGTCCCCCTACACCCACATTTGCTATGTGTTTGGCACATCAGCACTAATGTGCAGGTGAAGTTTTTGGAAATATTTGGGAAAGACAAGATGGATTTGGTCAACGAGACTTACAATGAAGGTTGGTGTCCTTTGCTTTATTCTTGGTCTGAGCAAGGTATGTTGGCCGCGTTTGGCCTTTTTAGGGCGAGATGTAGCAATGACAATCCACATCTGTTGGAATACATACAACGAGTGTGGTGGCTGCATTGAGAGAAGTGGACAGTTTGTCATACCAAACAAGTGTTTCATTTAGGAAATACGAGCACAAACAGGGTTGAGTCATCACATTCATCATCGAAAACTTTCCTTCAGAACTCTCGGGGGTCTATAGACACTGTATGGAAAGGAAACCACCGCTACATTACTAACCAACTCGGGGAGGTTAGGATGATGTTGGAAAACTCTCTACAGAAAACCCTTTCAGCAGCACATGGTACACCTTTCACATACTTGAGGAGACCGCAAACAGGTAATTATACTGATGAAGGAGGTTGAAGAAAATTTGGTGGCCCGTTTGAAAAAAATGAGAACTCACGATGTGCATGTCATTTCTTTGTGACACACGGCATGAAGTGTGGATGTTAGGTTATGGATGGCAGAGCGCGAGATATAGAGATATACACGGGTGATGTTCATCTATTTTGGCAGACATTGGCATACGAAGACCCACCCAATTCCAAGGAGTACGTGCCCCACGAGGATGAAGCTAAATGTCACCTTCAGGAGTTGGTTGATGAAACTGTACGCAGAGGGCCAGAGGCAACACAAAAAGCAGAAATAACGTGTTTCGTGGACTCCAACCCATCGAAAGACAACATTCACGAGCTAGAAGTGAACGAAACTAGGAGGGGACGACCAGACAAAAAATAAACTGGAAGAAATAGAAGTTGGTATGAGAAGATACTGTATGGTAAGACGAAAAACATGAAAAACAAGTCGCAGAGCACAATGTCGGGGTCTTCAAGGTCGACGAAGACTAAGTCCACGGGAACTCAGACACGAGTCCCGTCAGACGACCAGGCATTTGATGATCGTGATGATCCCAATGACAACAACAAATACAACGGTCTTGATACATGTACACATAAGCAAACCATAAGTGTTGTTATTTATCTGATATTATGTAGAATGTGTGCTGATGCAGCAACCAATTCGAATACGTACACTTGCATCTGCTTCCTGTCTTCGTTCGGGACCTTGTCATTGTCGTCCACGACGGTCATTTTGGGTTTCGTGCTCTTAGTTTTGCATTATATGATAATCAAGATGGGTTCCCAAAGGTGTGGCAACTTATCACTGAAGAAATTCATCAACATGATTGGCGATACGCTAACATGTATGGCGCGGATGTGGTTGCAGCAATCACTCGCATCGATATCGCTACTACCAAGGCAACGACCATACATCACTAGATGATGGGTGTGGATATATTCGTATTTGCCACGATCTTTAACTTGGTTGTTGTCATGTACAACAATATCCCCCGCCCCACGCCAATTATGTACAATTATACCATCCTGCCAGTGGACAACCTATTTGGGGCAACCAGTCCTAGAGGAGTCATTGTTGTGCATTTCGTCGAGGATAATTGGCTCAACCTCTCTTTCCCGACCATCAGGATATCGCTGCCCTCCTGTACACTACATGTGGGAGGGTGCTAGGCAAGATAGCGTCATTGAAAGGGATAAATATTTCCAGGCGTTTAGTCAATTGTGGTTAGATCTTGAGGGTGGCGAATCAAGCGGTCCATGGCACAAATCCAAGAGGGTCCCAAAAAAATAAACTTGTAATAAAAAAAGAGCCAGATGTACCATGATTAAATAATAAAAACATCCAATTATCTCAGGTTGCTTACGTCACAAGGAAACGTTTACTACATGATATAATAAAAACATCCCAAGTACAACAGAAACACATAATTCATAGTACGATACATGGAATAATAAAAGTCGTCGGAGAACAACAAAATAACATAAGTCGTCGGAGAACAACAGAATAACATAAGTCATAGTCGAATGTCTGAAAACAACAAATGACACTCATAAATAGTCGCATAACAAACATCAAATTACTACGGAGGTGGTATAAAACCCGACCTGCCCTGGTACCCGGACCACATGTTCCCAACTCCATGACATAAGTCATAGTACTAGTCGGACCTAACATGCCACTCCTCCCTGCTACCCATAGCACCATCCATCACGAGAGATATCTCCATCCACATCTCGCGTCCCAATTGTAAGAAAAAACCAGACAACTTATATATACATATTAGTTGCAATCAAACATAATTTTACTTAATACAAAAGTTTCAAATATGATTATACTAACCGCATCAGCATCCGCGAACTTGCGACGAGGTCAGCTATCACTCAATATCTGTCTGTGCGAGTGCCTAAGGTACCTCCCCAAGTAATCTTCAGTAACCTCCCATGGCCTACGTCGTACCGGGTTACAAAAAAAGTCCAGATGCACACTATGTCCCCCAGGTTGTTCCACCACGAAGCATTATTAAAGTGGTAGCTAACAGAGTATCCAATCGTGGAAGCGGGTCAACTCACAACAAGCGGACACTCCGGCTGATACGGTACCCTCTGCACGTAGCCTAACTGTCGGAGGCATCTAGTGGGATCAAATGGCTCTACTATCTCTGCAAATTTGATCATGCCATGATACAAGGTACGCCTCACGCTTAGATGAAGCACCGGACCATAAGGAGTCCAACCAACCTGCTGTAGGGTCAAACTATCAATCACTTGAATAATAAGCCAACATGAGTGTATCCTTCTTCTTTGTTGACTGAGGTGAGATACCGCGCTACCTGAGTGCCCCTGCCTCCCCCTGCTCCAACTGTCATGGCTCCAACCGACTAGGCCTCAAGGTAGGAAAGTGGTCGTAAATCCAATACTATAGTAAAGTCAGACAACTCGCCACTCCCTTAGCCTCCGCCCGCGAGGCAATACCAAGATGCATGTACAGATAAGCAAGTGCTCCAGCCCCCCACACGTACTCTCCCAACATCTCCGACCTCTTCACAAAAAATTTGATAACAGAAGAAACGTGGTCCTTACTGTTATCTACGAATAGTGTATACCCCAGTAGTAGAAGAAGGTAACACTGAGCCTCTCTAGCTGGCGGACCAACCTCCTACAAGTGAGCCAAAGCTGCCACACCTAACAAACCATGCCCTCTCTACCACAGAGAATCTCTGGCAACCTCTCCCACCTGGGCCCCCTGGCCCAAATCCGCATGATCCACGCCCAATAGTGCTCGTATGCTCTAGTGACATCTTCTCCAACTGCCTCAGATCCACTACTATCGGCTTTCCCTCAACTGAAATGTCAAGGATGTGCACCACGTCGTGAATGAGGATCGTAATCTCTCCAAACGGCATGTGGAAGGTATTGGTATCCGTCTGCCACCTCTACATAAATGTCGATATGAGAGCAGTGTCCAGCTCGCTCTGAAAGGTGATATCTGCGAGGTGAACAAGACATGATGTCTCTACGGTACCTTTAGCGCGAGAATTTGAGATCACGCAATGCTGTAGAACATGCTGAAGTGTCGAACTCTTATCGTAGCAAGTGATCACCCCTCTATAAGCCTATCTCGTGTAAAGACGGTGGGCAACATGCCCAACAAAGCTACGGAGTAAACTCTGGTCGCTCGGCCCTTCAGCACACGGTCCTCGAAGCTCCCACCCCTCTCCCACATTAGCATCACCCCTCTGACCCTCACCGGGCTGTGGAGCTATGTAGAAATGCCCTGCATGGTCTCTATAAATCCCAGTAACGACGTGTGACGATCCGCTGGCGGCACCTCTATCTTTGGTCGAACTGCCTCGTGGAATGCGATCCCAAATAGCATCCGACTCATAGTGCTCAGACTCGTCGTCAATCTCGTCTGAAGGCTCCAACGGTGAAGTATGCTGATCTCTCGTCCCAAAGCTGTGACTCGAACGACCTCCACTACCAACCATACTAGGCAACTGAAAATCAAACTGAGGAAAGCCATCTGCCCTCAATCTCATTGGTGGCTCTAGCTGAAGTGGCTCATTCTCAGACTCTAACAGCTCCCCCGATCTATCTCGGGATTTTTCCAGAAATAACACTGTTAAAAAAAAAACCCCACAAAAATAGCACCCAACCCCGAAAAATTCCAAAAATAACACCCTTTTCCAAAAACCGCCACCCGAACCAGCGGTTTAGGCTAAAACCACCACCCGGGGGCGCGGTTTTGTCAACCACATGGGGCCAGGGTGGTTTGTAATACATATATTTTTTTTCTTCAAAATAAAAGTTAGAAGTGGTCTTGGCATAACTGGTTTAGTTGTTTACTGTGTGTAAGAAGTCCTGGGTTCAAATCCCCACCATCCCATTTATTTTTATTTTTATTTTTTAGAGATTAAAAAAAGCTCAGATAATAAATAGTTTACTAAATTTAGCACAACATCTACACCACTCAACTACAACTCTTCTCTTGAAACAATAATATATTGACAAAGTTTTACTCCTTGCAAGCTAAAAATCCTCGATAACTTTAAACAACCATAACTTTGTCTCCAAAATCCGAACGTCATGAATTTTTTTTTCATTTCGCAAAAATTTTTAAGGACTACAATTTTTGCTAGGAATGAATTTTCAAAACAGGAATTATTTTTGGATATATAGGATTTTGGGAATAGCTTACCTTCCCTTTTCAGCAATCCACGTATATTTCGAAATTATGTCTATTATAAAATTTGTATTCCTTAAAACGTTATGCGAAATAAAAAAAAATTCATGTCATTTGGATTTTGGAGCGCAAAGTTTTGGTTGTCCAAAGTTTGACGAAAGCGGAAAAAAGCTCGTTCGGGGTAGCAAACAACATTTTTTCGGGACGAAAACACCTTCGGCAGTCTTCGGCTTGCAAGATCTGAAAAATTTATGCGGAATAAAAAAATCGCGACGATCGAATACCCGAACACAAAGATACGTTCGTTTGAAGTTTCCACATAGGTTAGGATTTTTCAAAAAAAAAAAAGAGAGACCAAAACCGCATGGTGGTTGTGCGGTTTGCAACCAAGCCGCCACGGCCCCATGCGGTTTGCAAAACCGCCCCCTACCAGTGTGGTTTTCATCAAAAAGCGCGCTCCGGATGGCGGTTTTCGCCTAATCCGCAGGTTCGGGTGGTGGTTTTTGGGAAAGGGTGCTATTTTTGGAATTTTTCGGGGTTGAGTGCTATTTTTGGATTTTTTTTAAAACAGTGCTAATTCTTGAAAAATCCCACCTATCTCTACGCTTTAAGATCTTATTTCTCTGACTAATACTAATATTACGCCCATCGAATCTACTCAATTTCTTTCCTCTTCCTCTAGCATCACCAGATGACGCCATCTCTAAACATAGTTAATAATTATATATTAATCTCTTATTATAAATTAATTTTTGAGCAATTTGTTCACAATTTTTTTATCATAGACTAATTATGATACATACAACTTATTAACTAATTAATTTAGTTAGATAGTTGTTTCACTAAATATGATAGATAATTATCTTACGAAATAAGATATATAGTTTTTGCTACATTAATTAAATACACAATTATTTAGACCTTAAGTAATTCAATATAAATAATCGTTATTTAACTAACATTTAATACTAATTATTCAACTAACTACTTTACCAAATTGAAAATTTGCAAATTTAAATAGAAGATTTGTCCATAATTGAAAAATCGAACATTTGCACAATTAAATACTCATTATTTAACTAACATTTATATAATAACAATTGAATTTCTATAATTTGTTCACAATGTTATATCTTTTTAACTATTGGAAAATTGAACATCTATACAATTAAATAAAGAAAAAATTACAAACACTATTTAACATAACTATTTTACATTTACCATATAGTAACTAACAATTAAATACTAACTATTATACTAAAAATCTAGATATCAATTAAATAGTATTTTTTGCTAAATATAAATAAAAATTATATTCAACTGGACAGGCCAGTACCTGGCCAAACCGGTCTGACCCGACCCGGCGGACTACGTCCCACCCTTCCAGGCCGACCGCGTCCGACCCGACTAGGTGGACGCCCCTTACTATCAGTTATCGTCCGACGCCAGCGGACGGACAAAAAATACCTCTTGAAGACGGCGGCGACGATGATTTGGGCGATTCGACGACGACGATGTGGTGGATGCCAGAGGCGGCAACGATGTGATGGACGGCGGCGGGATGATGTGGTGGTCGGCGACGGTGGTTTGACTGGCCAGCGATGAGGGTTGGGATGGAGCAGGTGGAAGGGTTTGGGAGGGAAGGGTGTGAGTGTTGGCTTGGGAAATAGATAGATTTAGGGTTTATAAAAAGAAGAGGCAAAATTGTCCAACTTTTGTAACTACGGGAGACAAATAGTAAAAGCACGGGCGATAAATAGCCGTTCATTTTCGTATCTACAGGTTAAATATGATGAATAGACAAATTTTTTGACATGATACTGAGAGGGATCTACATGGAGAGGAGATCTCCATCCTGGAATTAAATGAGATCTCTATGTTTAAAATCATTAGTGTTAGCGCTAGGTCAAAGCCTTCGTTGGCAATGATAAATATACTGAAGTCCGAGAAATTGACCAGAGGTTGTCAAACCGGTTTGTGCCAGTGTGCCGGTTTAGCAAGTGGAATGGTTCAACCGGTGGTACATACCGGTTTGAGCCGGTTCATGTCGGTTAATATTACAAATAATTTACAAATACTCATATTTAAACACGACATTTAACGTCAATACCTACATATTTGTATTTGAATCCAACAAATAACATCAACATTTAACTTTTTAACACATAAAATAAATAAAAAATTACTTTTTATCAATTAAATTCACTAAGATAAGATCATTTTACTTGGAGATTCGTATATCGATCATGCCGATCATGCCGATTTTATAAGCGGTACAGGTTGAATCAGGTTCAACCAGTGGCACGCTGGCCGGCGTGACAACCATACTTAGTAATAATGTAGATAAATAGCTAAATACATCAAACTAAATTGAAATATTGATGAAATAATAGATTATCTATCTATCTTTTATCTTCTTTGACTTCTCTCTACTTCTTTTCCTCCGATAGTCTCCAAAGGGTGTCACAGGTACCTCAGGGTGATCGGCGACAACCATAATTTTCTTTTACATCTTTTTTGCCATGCTTCCATCTTTTGGTAGGGCTCCTGCACCTATCAGTAATTAAATTTATATCTTTGATTTAGAAAATCCAGATATTAGGGTGAAGAATTAAATAATTTTTTATTTTCCCTTATTTTCTTAATCGACTTATATCTTCTTCGTCGTAACTCGGATTTCAATTTTTTTCATAGATGGCATGAGTTCGTTGTCGTTTACAAAATGAAATTCATTTTGAATATTTTTTAGGGAAATAAATTTCTCGCCTCTCGTTACCAACTGCATACCATATGGTATCTTCTTCGTTTTTAAGTCGTATTTGAAAGTTTTTGCAAAGAAGGAACGAGTTCATCATGATCTATTGGATCTAAAAATTTCCGGGCGAACAAAATACAGGATAAAAAAAATATCACACAATACCACCCTGGTACGGGGTGGTATTTTGTGGTACACAATGTTAAATGTCGCAAATGAGAGTTAGTCTAATCCTATTATCATGTATTCAACCATCCTACAGTCTTGGTATGTTCATACCACCATGGTACTCTTTTCATACTTATCCTTACCAATATTTTATGGTCGCTATATAATCCAAATATGAATAGTCATTTTGGTTTTAAAAAGGGGTTAATTGCATGGTTGATCACTGAGATTAATATAATTATCAAATTGGAAGGGGCGCTCTGAAACCTCACCATCTCCTGCTACTTGCCGCCGGGGACAACCATGGAGGAGCTTCTGCTCACGATCGCCGACGAGTTCTGACGCTTGGACGCAAAATCTCTGGAACGCGTGCTGCTCGTCGATTCAGCAGTTGGGTACCTAGGTTTCGAAGCTACAGCGCCGCCGGCGACGGAGCGGCGAGAATTGAATTGAGCAGTTGGGTAGAGAAGAGTTGACTGCCACATCAACCAAAGTTAACGGAGTTGGACAGAGAATGAGCAAACGTGAACGGTTTCAGTAAACTGAAGTACCACCAATGGATTTAAATATTTCGAGTGTTTGAATATTTTTTGTAATCTAAGTGAAAACCATGTAATTAACCCTTTTAAAAAGTATATATTGTAACCAGGGTTGGAATAATAGACTAGACCATTTGAAAAATCATGGACCAAACCAGACCGCACAATTTTGTCCGGACCATAGATCGTGAAGAATGGTCTAGTCTGGTTTATGGTCTTTATTATATGAAGTTTTGATCTCTTGGTTTGGTCTGGTCT